GTATTTGAGTATATACCCAAGAGAGGAATGGCTGGAACTTGAGGTAGATTGATTCCCATTTTCCTGAGCAACCGCCATACTGATTTCCAAAGTGGTCTTACAAGTTCACACTCCCACCCGCAATGGAGGAGTGTTCCTTCTTCTCCACAACCTCTCCAGCATAGGTTGACATTGGTATTTTTGATTTTAACCCGATCTTGTCTAATATTCCATTTGTATACATGAACTGTTTTGTTGAGTCTTTTCTTCTTTTTGGATTAAACATTTAAAAAAAAACATAGCATTTTTTTACATGCATATGAAAGTTTATCATTGTCACCCCAGCTCTCCTAACTCATTCTACCTTTGTCTTTGACTGTCCTTTCTAGGTCCCTTTGCTATATTCTTTGTTTTTATTTAAACATATGAAGAATTAATACAAGACTTGTTCATTGACCTCACTTCCATATCACTGTGTCTGAAACTTTTACTGTGCATTTATCATTCCCCTCTCAAATGCATTACCTCCTGTCTAACTGTTATTGTTATGTATACACACACAACTATACAGGTATACTTTTATATAAACATGACATGTTAATCCATTTGCTGTACCAATTTTCAACTATTTTATGGATATATTGGCAAAAGTGGTAATTCTTTACATATTATAATGTTTTATGAAAGAGCTTGTGAAGACCTTTAAGCTTCATGGATATAATAGCCATGTGACAATTGCTGGTTTACATTGTTAGGCAGGATTTACTTCTTTTAAGGAGGACTTGAGTTTTCTTTGTGAGATATCAGATATTCATAAGATATATCAGTGAGTAGTGTACCTTCATGAAATATAGCCATGGTGGTCATTGTGTTTCAAAGTTATTATAACTAAATTAGACAATTGAATCACTGTCTTCCTTAACCAGCTTTCTGAATGCATTCCTACTCTTTGATAGCTAATCATCAGATACCAGGGTTTCATGTATTTCCTGTTCAAATTTCCCTATGCAAATCTCAGAATTGATCTGCCAGTCTAACAGGATAATGATGTCTAGGACAAATGACAGCCTCTTTGTCACTGAACTTAAGCTGGAATTAAAGAGAGGAAGAGATTTAATGTTCACCGTGCCTGCATAGTCCTGAGTACATATACCAAATGCCTCACACATCCATGATTATTTACATGAATATACTTAAGTGTTCATTGTGGAACACCACATTTCATTTAATTAGTATGTATGTAACAATATGCAAATGACTCAAGGCAACAAATTTTTCTATGTTTCAAAATATGAGTGAAACTTGAAGTTCTCCATCATTACTTTTCTGTTTATTTTGTTGATGTTGCCTATTTTATAGAAGTTTTGGCCTCTTAAAGTCAATAAATTATGACATATAAAAATATACATGCATACTAATGGTAATCCTAAATACATGTTTATAGCATGCAGAATTCTCACAGTTATTTATCCTAATGATGTCCTTTAATTTATATCATCTTTTTCTGATATAGAGTCTGACAGTGCTGTTAGTGGAATTTGCATCCAAGTACTACAGCCATGCTTCCTCTCTGCATCCTGAGAAGCTGACAATGGAGGAGACCACTTCCCTGAGCTTATGGTATTGTAAAGCCAACTGTTTACTCATTTCATTTGGATTGTTGGTTACTCATGTAAGTGATGAGACTGAAATTCACATTTAGCTATATTCTGGATTTTCTGAAGTTATTACACCTAAGTACATTACTGGATTACTGACTGCTTCATTTGACATCAGGTTATGTCTTTTCACAAAAGTAATAAAAATGTTGTTTATATGATCTGCACATGTCCTACTTCCATATATAATAATGTCATACATTCTATACATTGGAGAGTTTTATTTTAATTATTAACTCATATATCAGAAAGATTATAGTATGTTTTTTATAACCTCAGAAGAGACAAACACCCATACTATCACCCTCATTACAGAGGGAAATGGCATAGAAGGGACAGTAGCAAGGATCAAGGGACACATATAACACACAATCCTACCCTACTGCGATATCCAGGGTATGCAGGACACAGTGATAACCTCCCCATTAGATGACAGGTAGATCTCATTGACAAGCATGAATTTTATGAACTTCTACAACCATGATGAGACCCACCCAGATGACCCATTTACAAAGAGTTTTCAGATACCAAATTTTCAGGTATGTGCCTTTATAGCCATCCTATTTGAGAATATGATATGAGCAGAGTCTCCAGTTTTAATCAGTATGGTGTGAGGCTATGACATTCACTAATAGGGTTTATCAGGAAACACTAAACAGCATTCCTGTTTCCAAGCACATGAGTTGAGTTCCTAGGAGATCTGGTCAAGATTGCAAATTTTATGCACATAAGGATGGATCATGTTACTTTGTGAGAGTATATTAGGTGGGCTGTATAGAAACCAATCCTGAGATTATCCAAAAAGGTGGAACAAGGCAGCATTAGTTATGATCTTTAAGTTTTAGGAAATAAACAAGGATAACATTGTATGTTGGAAAACAACACATGCATGGAGACATTGCTGGGATGGGCCTCATATTCTCAGCAACACTCCATTTTAAAATCTGATTGTCCTTTCCCCCACAGATATGAACTACAAATACAGTCCTGGATAGGAGTTGATTTTTGTGGTCCAAGATGTAATAATGCTGGCATTCATCTGGTTTGCACAATATTATTCTTTCTTGTAAATCTCATTGTAAAATCTTTCTAAAATATTTACATATGTGAGAGTAATTTTAATGCAGTCCCATATATAATGGACACAATTCCCTAGCTAGACATCTTATGTCACAAAGTAATACCCCAGTGG